AGTTAGTGCAGGAGAAGTTTGTCTTGATGTGGTATCTCTACAGGTGGTTGCTTGCTACAGAACACCAATATCTGATTTTAATATATAAGAATATGTTTCCTCTATTAATAAAGTTTCCAAACATGAGAACTATGTCAGAGGAAGCAATTTTAATTCACATCATGTTTCCTGAATAGAATGAGAAACTGCCCAAATGGTGAAAGTATTTTTGACAACCATGTTCCTGAGGCTATGTTTCTACTCAATGACGGTTCTCCTACGTATATCTCTAATTCATATGAAACGTCATCTATGATTAACTTGACATTTGTTTCACCGAATCTAGCATTCTATTCCTCATGGGCAACGAATGATGACAACTGAGGAAGTGACCACTTCGCTATTAGCATTATCATAGGACTGTTTTGTGCAAAATCATTCATTAAGACTTTTGAGGTTAACTTAAAGAGAACTGATTGAGATGTATTTAAAAGAGTTTTGATTGCTAAGTATCATGTTTTTAATAGTCTGAAATTTTTGAATTCCAATGTCATTCACAGATATCAAATACTGAGATTTTTCATGAAGCTATTATATCCTCCACCCCAATTGCAGAGATCAATGCATCACTCTCTCTATATCACAATGCCCAAAAAGCAATCCTTGTCCATGGTGGAATAAAAACTGCAAACAAGTCGTTAAAGATCGAAAACAAGCTCTTGCTGTCCTTCGCAAGTAATTTAACAAACAAAACTTAATAGAATTAAAAAAAAGGCAACAAATTCTAGATTTCTTATTCAAGATCAAAAATCTAAGAACTTCAAACAATTTTCTAGTTCACTTAATAAAAATAGTAACATATCATACATCTGGACAGAATAAAATGTTTCAACAATAAACTTAGATCTTCAAAAATTTCAGATTTTAATGCAGAGAAAACACTCCAAGACATTAAAGTTGGGATTAATAAAATCTACCCAGACTTATTTAATGAATGAATTTGTGAAACTAATGAATTTCTTGTTAGTCACCTGGTATGGACAAAATACCTTTCAAAGTTTTGAATGACTACCAGAAAAAATCTTAAGTTTCTTTTAGACATCTATAATGATGTTATTTTTGAAAATTGGTCTCCAACAGATTGGAGAAAATACAAATTGAATTATACTTGTCTATCCTAGATTCTGAGACTGATCACCAATTTTATAAAAAATTAAATCTACATACGTTGTTATTAGATATCAAAGGGGCTTTTGATTGTGTTTGTTCTTCAGTATTAATTCAGGACCAGATTGAAATAGGCATTTCAAAAAACTTCATTCACTATATTTTCAACATAATATCTGAAAGACACCTAGATTTAATAAATTATCCATTTTCTCCAAATAATAATAAAGCTTACCAAGGTCTTCCTCAAGGCAGTATTCTGAACCCTCTCCTTTTTTCTATTTACACTAATAAACAGGAAAGTTTATTACCAAGTGATGTGTTCATGTTAAAATATACAGATTGCTTTGAATTCAGTAACAAACCCAGTGGTAGATGCCACCAATATTCAAGAGGATTCTGTAGAATAATTGAGTCAATATTTAGGAAAGAAAAACCTCCTAGCACCAGAACAATGTACGTTTGTTGTATTTAGCAAGAGCTCCTTAAAAGCTCATAAATTTTATATTTATGTCAATGACAATTGTTCATAGCTCTCCTTCAGCTGTTTTCTTGTGCATGACACTAGATCACTCATTGAAGTGCAAAGGACACACATCTAGAAAGGACTATCTAGAAATGAAAGGTCACATATCTATTTCATGAAAAAATGTGGCCATCGAAATATGGGTCGTTTATGTGGAACTTGGTGGGGAGCAGACTTGTGTTCTGTTGCTAATATAATAAGCTCACTCGTTAAGAATTACACAAGGTTTCAGAAAAATAATTTAAAAACAATTATTTGAGTGATGTTCTGTCTAAGATAAACTGTTTAAAAACTCTTCTAATATAATAAAAATAATAGAAATCTTTGTTAGTTATATGTTTTGAGGATTTATCCATTTCTTGTGACAGCATTAAGAAATTTGATTGTGTCACATTCTATGAGTACAATTATTTTTTACAGCTTAGTAAATTAGAGGTTAACTTTGATATTGGTGTGGAAATTGCTACTTCTCCTTGCCCAAATGAATTATTTATGGATCCTTTTTTTCCATCTCCCAGAAGTTATTCAGAAGAAATTTAATTTTCTGTTCACTGATGGTTCAAAGAATGATTTGAAGTGCCCAGTTGGTTTTGCAATCTGGAGCACCAACAATAGGCTAATTAGGAAATTTCAAGTCAATTTTAAAATATCTTTATTTACTGCTGAAGCTCTAGTTATCATTCAAGTATTAAAAATTGATTATTGAATTTAAAATTACTTCTTCGATAATCTTTTCTGATTCGAAGAGTATCTAGGTTTCTCTATCTAACGGTGATAGAACTAAAAATCACGTATATATTATTCTAGAAATCAAGAAATTATGAGATTATGCAGGTCAACCTCAAAATCTGTTTAACTTGGATTCCTGCCACTGTTAGAAATGAGTTAAACGGAAATGAGAATGCCAATAGAGAAGCAAATCAAAATCATTTTGCAAATATTGAAAATCTTGGTCCCTCCAAAAGCAGAGAGTATTTCTTACTTTATTATAGAACATCATCATTACCATGGTTTCAGAACTTCAAATTAACTAAAAAAAATTGTTATTAATAATATGTTTGACATCAAATTATTCATCATTAAATTACAGTTCGAATAGATTCAAAATTGCCAATTCTGGTTTGTTTGAATGTTGTGTGGAGAATGACACCGCTGAACATTTATTATGGCATTGTACATTATTTGATAATGTAAGAAACATTCAAATGGTAATACTCAACTGCCTCAATATTACCTTAGGCCAAAATATTGTGGACATTTTAAAAAATGTAGATACATGTGTTATTCTAATTATACATGAGTTCTTTGTGAAGTCAAAAAAACAAATTTAATATTTGGGATAATATTCTGCGAAGCTGTATAAAAGTGTAATAGTTGTAAACAAAATAGTTTTAAGTTGTAAATCCTATTTGTAATTTGTTAAATGGCTGTATACACTTGTGTCTGCCAAAATAAATAATAACCGATTCCACCCTGAAGACAGGCCCTCAAATGTGATTTTCATAATGAGCTGGAATTCACAATGTACCTGTTGAGTTCTGTGCCACATTCGATGATAGGAGAAACAGTTTTGTATACAACAGAATAATCTTCAGTCTTAATCAATGTAAAAGCTTTGTTAATCATGAAGACTACCTTAATAGCTTACTCTCTATACAAGATATTTTAGTTTCACTTTTGCTCTCAGAAATTGGAGCAGTAAAATTATAGTACCCTCTGAACCATAATAATAAAATTGGATTGAAAAATTGGATAAAATTGGCTTTGAGGCGAGGAAAATTAGAAGATTGTTACTTCATTTCTGGTATGTCCACTTACTTTTAAATTATGATTTCATAAAGTGTAGTAAAATAATCCGAGACATTTTCCTGAATATCTGAAACTTGCAAAAGAGCACGAACTTTCCGATTTTCCACTATGTAGCAATAACAATTAATCATCTAAGCAGTACATTTTCCACTTAAATCTCGTAATACATAATATGTAGTAAAATTCATGCTTTGCCCAAATGTGGTGGACAAATGCAGCTTCGTAATAAGGCTCCAAGATTTTGTTGGCCTTGAAGACTTCACTTGTGTTTAAGCTAAGCTAAACCCAACTTACTGTTCACTTTTAGTACCAAAGTAATCAAACTTTGTGGTAAATGGGCTGCAGTGAATGGTCCTGCTCATTAAAACATGGAACACTAAAGGAATTTCAAATACACATATTGGTACAAAAATGATATAATTTTGTTAAAATATTATGTTGAAAGTAACATACAATAAAAAATTCTGTAATTATTTATTGCATAATGAGATGTTTTTTTAGGGCTACATTTATTTAACCCCTACAAATCTTAAGCTTAAAACGGACATCACTCAATCAAGTACAATTGCAATTGTTGACAGTTAAAAAAAAAGGGTATGTATAGAAATATTTATTTAGTAAAAAAGATTATTAGGGATGACAAGAATAAGATTATGAAATTGGTTTCTTACAAATATTGAAATTATACCATCAAAATTTCAAAACTTTCAAAAATAAAATGTTAATAATATGAAAAAATTATTTCATAATATGTAACCTAATTAATACATTAAAAAGATGTTAAATTATATCCACGTTTTTTTGTTAGTACTTAATGTTTAATCATCCTATGAAAAATTAAAAATATATTTGAGACCAGTTTATGAACATTCTGGAATTTTCCCTAGCATTCCTCTCGGTGTTGACGATATTAATATAAAACAAATCTAAAATTAATAATTAAAAAGTCAACCGACGTTTATACAAAAATAACTGGCGAATCCTCTTCTCATGAAGTACAGGAGCCCAAAAACCGTCTAATGACCCTTTCCGACTCACCTTTTCATAACGAAATGACAGCATGAACGACATCACCGCGCCGCAGCAGCAATTTGGCGTCGTGTATGTATATACACATTTCAGTTACGTAAACAGAATATTCTTTCTGTCACTGTGCCTGCGTTTCTCGTTTTCGTTCATACATCTTCCGGCTTCGGAATCGACTCGGTACGATAAGGGTCAAAAAGACCTCCACTAGTCATAAACAAAATCCCATAAGAAACTGTACATAAATACAAATCTTCTTACCTCTTATTTTATTATTGTATCGCAACTCAGCACTAATCTAAAGTCATAATAATTTATTCAAATGATTATCAAGATTAAAATGCACAGACTTTGTTATTTACGACAGAAAAGCCACATTAGCGCACCCAGAAACTGCACTAACGGAAAGGAAGTGGTTTATAGCGTATCTCATATCACTGACAACGACAAACATTTCGCGACTCGCAAACCTCCGAGCATGACAATACTTAATACAGCCGAAAACTAACTAGTGGACCAGGAAGCACTCCACGCAAACATACAAATGCCAACTGCCAACCCCCAACACTTTCCACCAAACGTTTTGATACGAGACTTGATCATTTTTTATACTTCGTATGGGTTTTGATACGATATATACTCTCACCCAACACCTACCTTTGCATTTCAAATAATTAAACATTAATATTAATAGTTTAGTTTTCAAGAAAACTTACCGATATTTTTATTAAGTATATGAGCATCAATGCGAGATCTCGAGCGTATTTATGACACGTTTACGAAACCCTTAAGCGACACGTCAAAATCAGACTCACGATTACGCCAAGAACTCAATAACACAGCTTAAGAGTAAATTTTGGGGTCTGCCACGCCACTAGCGCCGCCAAACGGCCAGCAAGCTGCGGTAAGTCTGGTGTACTGCGAACGCACGCATATAGTTTAATTTCAGGTAGCAAGGGTTTAAGTTTTCAGGATCATTTGTTTTACTGTGAAGAATTCTTATACGCTATTGAGTAAACATACGTCTCCATCGAAACGCAATTGTGTAGTTCGGTTAACTGCAGCAATAATGCGTTCAAATGACCGTATCTTTCTATTGTTTTGTAGAGTGTAGTGCTGGTGCATTTTCATTTATTTTTAATTTGCTCTTTTTCACGCTTTTCGCTTACAACATAAAAACATAGCCTTTTATAATTCAGGATTAGAGAACAAAAACAAATATTAATCATCGAAAATCACTTTATTGTTTTTCAAAATATTCCCCATGAAGATCTATACACTTTTGCTTGCGTTTGAACCAATTGTCGAAGCACTTTTGCCACTCTGATTGAGGCATCTCCAAAACATTCTGAATGCAGCAACCATTTCTTCATGTGTCGAAAAACGTCCTTTCAGTCTGTTTTTTACGTACAGAATAAAAAGTATACGGAAAAGTTGTTTAAATCGAAATAGAAAATTATAATGTAGGACGAGATTTTAGCCTTCTTAAACATTTTAAAAGTAATATTTCAAATCTACCATTAAGAAATAGAAAAATTGAGAAAATTAAAAAGGACGGCATTAGATGGTAGCAGGCATGAGGATGGGGCAAGACCGTAAAGCTAGCCCACACAAAGGAAAATAAAAAGAACTTTACCAGTCTGTGCCATTCTGTAGCACCACTAGTTTTGATTGTAAATGATTGATTATTAATACCCGGGGAGGGATTATCTTATTGACTGGCTGTTTTTACGTAACATGATACGAACATACAATGGCATGCTTATTTCTTGAATTATCATCCATCATTTGGTTCAGGTTATTACGAAATCAAATAAAAACACAAGAGCAAAGTTTATTTTTTAATTCCAAAAGCATAATCAGGTGAAAGAGAAACAAATACCGAGAATACTGCATCTTATCTGGTTACAAATTTAAATATATTTATACAATATTATATCGAAACTTATAAATGCCAATGTTATGACCACACATACTTCATTATCTAATTGACCTTCAAATTAAATTCTTTCAAATTATATTTAACGTAACTAACTTGTTTCCGTTGACTACTCCTGAAATGAATAAAACTACAAAATAAAAGAATAAAAGATATAGTTAAGTCTTCTGAATAATCTTTAGCCAATTTAAACTTCAATAAATGTGTAATGTGCGTCCTATCACGTGAACTGGTGTAGCAGCAAGCTGTAGGGGAGCTGGGTACCAGTGCCGTTAATTCAAGATGGCGGTGGGAAGCGCCACGAGCGAGGGCATCCCGGAAGAAGTCTGCAGCTGCCCTTCGGTCTGCATGTCCTGCAATAGAAATCTACGAAATAATCGTGTGATCACGGGTATATAAGTAGCACCCAGCAGGGTTTTTTGCTTCAAATCATCTTGGATTAAACCACGTACAAATATGGGAATATGGGAATTTTTGAATCAATATTTACTTCTTAACGCCCAAATCGCGTTATTTTCATATCCCTTACATTAAAAAAACATACATTTTAGAAAAAAAATCACGAAAACGCTTGTTTTAAGCCACAAATCCTACCTTCAGAAAGGAAACATGCTATTCCAAAACACTAACTTTAAAACAAAACCCTATTTTACCCCAAAAGTAAATTAAAAAAGCTAACAAACTAAAACCGGTTTCGCTTGGATTTGATTTAAAATCAAAAGAATCATTTTTTATCCCCGCCATTTGGCGGATCTTTGCCAAGCAATCGTTATTAAGCTTTTTGCTTTTCTCTGTATTCAGATGACCATAATTGCCATTTTCTTGCATTACTTTGTTTGCACAAAAATTCGTAGGATTTTTTGATACGTCATTACTATTTACATTAACCGACGAGTTGTTTATATGGTCGCATTTTTTGAGTACATAGTGCTTCAAATTTTACTATACAAATTTCTTAAAAAAACTCAGTTTGCTGCGAAAAAGCTCGAATTAGGCATTTTTCAGACAACATGTGGAATTTTCCTAGCAATTGGAACAAAAATTTTTCTGTAAATTTTTTTGTAGCAGATGGTGCTAAATTGACTCAATAACATGACATATATATCGCTTTTAGTATTCTTTTTGTTATTTTGAAAATTAAACAAATTGTTTTTCTTTAATAGCACATGTCAATAATTAATATAACGGTCATTTGTTATACTACATTTAGACTAGTGAGATCATTTGCTCTTAAACATATTTCTTCGATGAAGTTTTTCGGAAAATCTTACGTTTTTGGTACGAAACGAGCTTTCAAAAACGCGCATTTTCGGAAAAGGTCAAACGACTTCTCTTAAAAATAAATGCATAAGTTATATTAAAGAATTGGTAATGTAAATATTAACAACGTAAAGAAACAAGTCAAAATACTACAATTTTTGTAATTTTTGGAAACAATGAAGTAAAGCAAAATGGCATTCATGGCAACTCTACAGCACTTTTACCACTGTCCGAACCACAGTGCACAAGGAAAATTGAGCTGTTTGAGAACTTGTTTTTTCCATTGCATACTTTTTTATATTTGACATTCTTACGCAATATAGGGGGAACTACACTTTTACAAAAAAAAATGCATAGGACATTAATAACAAGACGCTAAAAAAAAAATCATTTGAAAGGGCAACAAATTCTCTCTTGCAATTTGTAGCAGTAAAAAACGCCAAAATATTCAAGCTTTTGCAATTCTCGAAAATTTTGGAATTTTTCGAATTTTTGAAAATCGGGACGTATGGCCATCTTTATAATATCTAATTTCTCCGGAAATTCAAAGGAAAAAAACATTAGTGCCATGTTGAGAAATTTGGAAAATGCCCGCAGAGGCTATACACTAAAAGTATCTGGAAATATTAATGAAGTTATTCATAATCGCTGAGCTATCGACTCGCGGCAGATCGACCATGAGAGTATCCAAGTTTGGAAAAACACGCGTAGTATAGGCTATGCTGTTTTCAGACGGAAACCCGGACGTTTCGAAAAAAGAAAAACAATTTTGCGGTATCAGGAAACCCTAAAACGTGTTTTCTTTGCAAATAGCAAACGGTGTTAATTTGCTATGTATTTCCTATGTCCAATCGATTTACCGCCAGCATTATATAAACATTCTCTATGCTACGGTATTACTCCGTTTATACGTACGTAACGAGTATAATGGAAATACAGTACTATGTACGAGATGGCACAGCACTTCGCGCGTACGTAAATTAGTTTCTAATTTTTTTTCGGTCTGGGGTGCATTTCGGGTCTTGCACTATCATTTGGGCAGCCTGCCATCTATCGCGCGCATAAAGTTAATTTTTTTTCAATATTTCGGGGCTTTATAATTTATAGAACCGTAATATTACTTTAAGAGATTAAAACGCTTGTCCTATATGAAAATATATGTTAACGAAATTTTTTGGAACCCTTTATGGAAAATGTTTTTACAAAACGTTACTATGAATGAGATATTTAAAGCTCTTTTAACAAAAAATTGAGTTTTAGAAACTTAATTGGAAAATATTTGAAGCACCTCCCTACAGATAAAATAAATGTCATCCAATCGCTAGAAATCTGCATGTTATGACATGAGATACTTCAAAATAAATACATTTACGTAATTTTTTAATCAAACAAAAGAATACAAGGCAAACATGTTTATAAGGTTATCTTAAACAGTAACTTTTAGCACTATTCACGGACCATACCACCTTCTCGAGATCAACCGAGACGAGGTGTTATTCGACGGCGTCCTCGGTCGTCCGACTAATAATTTGTTTGTGGATCCGTCAGGAAAATACCTAAACACGCAACACTCACCGTGCTGGCTACTTC